TTGGGGGCACGCCAGCGCCAGCACCCCTCGTTATGGTTGGCAGGACGATCATCGGGGGCGCACGCCGGATGTCCCCTCAGAACATCAGGGCACAGCCATTACCCCCGCTGCTAGTAACATTCGACGACGTTTCCAAAGGCATGGTGCCCACATTACCCGAAGGCAACCCGACGCGGTTGCCCCACGAAGGAACGTTGCGCTCGAGGCCGCCCCTCCTGTGTCCCCCGGAAGGGCCGCACAGGAGGCCCGACTAGAGGCAATGGAACGGCGAATAGCCGAGATGGACAGACGGGCGGAGGCTACCCCAGCTACGCCTCCTTTCTCCCTCACCTCCCCATTCACTCCGAGGGTCATGAATGCAGAGATCCCACGGGACTGCAGACCACCCGGAGGAATAATATACAATGGGACCGGAGATCCCAAGGCTCACTTAATCAGCTTCCAGGGGAACCTCTCCATGCTGGGAGCATCCGATGAGGCCATTTGCCGGCTCTTCTTTAGCACTTTGAGGGGCCCGGCGCAGGAGTGGTTCGGGCAGCTGAGGCCCGGGTCCATTGACAACTACGAACAGCTGTCCCAGCAGTTCATGGCACAGTTCGCTGCCAGCACCACCCCCAAGAAGAGCTTCACACCGCTCACCAGTGTGAAGCAGGGGAAGGACGAACCTCTGGCCAAATTCCTGGTCAGATGAAGAGACGAAGTACTCCAGGTAGACGGCCTGGACGAGCGGCTGGGAGTGAACATGTTCACCAGCGCTTTGGCAACGGGGGACGTATACCGGGACCTCCGGAGGAACCCCAGCACTAGCTACACCGAGGTGCTGGCTCGGGCACAGAAGTACGCCTCCATTGAGGAGGAAATCAGACTGAGGGACGGCGCACCGACAACCCCTTCCCGGAAACTGGCGGATAGGCTCGGCCCCGGAGGCGGGCCATCCCCCCCGAACAAGAAGAAAAAGACGGACGGCGGCATGATTCCGTGGAAGGCCCACTCTGAGGCAAGCCACACGCGTCCGGGGGAGTATCATGTCCCTTTGGCCTACCCCGTGGGCCAGATCTTCGACGCCATTAAAGACAAGGGCCTCCTAAGGGATCCCCAAGACAAGAAGGCGCTTATGGGTCTTGATGAGACCGCATACTGCGAATACCACCAAAGGGTCGGCCACCTCACCGACAATTGCAAGCAACTGAGGATGGCCATCGACGAGCTGATCCGACAAGGCTACCTGGGCGAGTTCACCCAGCTACTGAAGAAGAATAGCCCAAGGCAGCCAAATCCGAGGTCAAGATCATGGCGCCGCGACGATCGGCGCGAGGCTGAACCAAAGGACGTAGACTATCGAAGTGCTGATAAACGTCCGGAGGGGTCCCTCGGCCCGAACGGCGGAAAGAAGAAGTTGGAGATCAAGGTGATCTTCGGGGGTGCTGAGACTGGGGACACACCTGCTGAGCGGAAGAAGTTTGAGATATCCCTCTATGTGGGCTCCATATCAGTTCCCCCCACTAAAAAGAACAGAGTGGAAGCCATCACCTTTGGGCCAGCCGACTTACCAATGTCGCCAGCCCCGCACAGGGATGAGTTGGTGATCAGCATGGATATCAATAATGCGATCGTCCGCCGCGTCCTTGTTGACACTGGAAGCAGCGTGAACGTCCTCTACTGGGAGGCGTTCGAAGGGATGAAGTTGAGGAAGGATCAGCTGGCCCCCCTACGCACCCCTCTTTCTGGCTTCACGGGGGACTGCATCGACGCGGAGGGCACCATCGGCCTCCCCGTGGAGATCGGGGATGGGCCTCACACCACCCGCATCCGAATGACGTTCGTCGTGGTCCGCCTGAAATGTGCTCACAACGCGATTTTGGGGAGGCCCGGCTTGGAGGATCTTGAGGCCATATGCTCCGTGCGGCATTCATGCATCAAATTCCCCACTGAAACTGGCGTGGGAGTAGCCCGCACGGACCCACATATGGCCAGGGCCTGCTACACAAAGGCTATGGAAAGGTTCAGCGAGCGGGAAGCCCGGGTCAACAGCATTTCTGAAAAGGCCAGACAAGCCGATTTTGACGCTCGCCTAGAGCCGGCTGCCCTGCTCGAAGAAGTGGAGCTGGATGACCCTTCGGACAGAAAGGTATCCATAGGCGCCGACCTTGAGCCTGAGATCAAGGAGGGAGTCATAGCCGTCCTCCGGAAGTTCAAAATCATATTCGCCAGAGGGCCGGAGGACATGCCAGGCATTGATCCCAACCTTATATGTCACAGACTCGCCGTGCAGCCGGACGCCAAGCCCGTTCAACAAAAGAAGAGATACATGGCGGCTGACCGGCGGGACTTCATAAAAAAGGAGGCTACTACGCTCCTCAGCATCAGGCACATCCGGCCGGTCATCCACGTGGAGTGGTTGGCCAATGTGGTATTGGCCCCAAAGGGCGACACATGGCGGATGTGCGTCGATTACTCGGACCTCAACAAGGCCTGTCCGATGGATCCATATCCAGTGCCGAGGATCGACTTGCTCGTAGATGAAACTGCGGGCTGCGAGCTGCTCAGCTTCATGGACGCGTTCAGAGGATATCACCAGGTGTTCATGCACCCGGATGATGCAGAGAAGACGGCGTTCGTTACGGCGGACGGCGTGTACTGTTACGTGGTCATGTCGTTCGGCCTGAGGAACGCCATGGCTACTTTCCAAAGGATGATCGGGATGTTGTTCAAGGACGTACTGGGCAAAACCATGGAGGCTTACGTGGACGACATCCTGGTCAAGAGCAAGAAGAAGGGAGACCACGTCCGGGATATGGAGAGGGTTTTCACTATCATGGAAGGGGCTAGCATGAGGCTCAATCCGAAAAAATGTGCCTTCGCCGTCAAGGGAGGCAAGTTCCTCGGCTACATGATGAGCGAGCGAGGGATCGAGCCCAACCCGGAGAAGGTGAAGGCAATAGTTGACATGGAAGCCCTGAAGAACCTGAAGGACGTGCAGCGGCTCACCGGGCGACTGGCGGCCCTGAGCCGATTCATGTCAAAGCTAGCAGACAAGGCGATCCCCTTCTTTCAGATCATGAAGAAGGCAAATCCCTTTGAATGGACACCGGACTGCCAGGCTGCCTTTGAGGATTTCAAAGTATACCTCTCCTCTCCACTCGTCCTCACCAAGGCGGACCCAGGGGAACAATTATACATGTACCTGGCGGTAGCGGACTTGGCAGTGAGTGCTGTACTACTAAAAGAGGCAGAGGGCGTTCAGCGGCGAATCTATTTTGTGAGCAAAGCACTGAACGGCCCAGAGACCAGATACACACTGATGGAGAAGACGGTCCTCGCCTTGATAGCATCCATCAAACGCTTGGCACCGTACTTGCAAGCACACCCAGTGACAGTATACACAACACAACCTCTCGCCACAATCCTCAGGAACCCCATGGCCAGCGGGAGGATATCCAAATGGTCCCTGATGATCGGCCACGGAAACATTTAGACCAGACGAACGTCCAGCTATGCGCTTGGCATACCCGAGCTCCTCATCCGTCATGGGCGGCGGAATCGTCTTCACCGGGTAGGCATTCCACCGGTCAGGGAATGGCATCAGTGAGCCTACTCCGGCCAGAAAGAAGCGTTCTTCCCAGCCGTCCGGATTCCCGGCGTTGTTCGAAAACAGGACCATGGACGGACGGGCGATCAGGGTCAAGTACCCCGTACGTCCGAAGGGGGACAGCCGGAAGAAATGGTGCAGCAGATCCACGGTGGGGGTCACGCCGACGCTATGGCATCTAATTATGAAGCCAGCAATTATCCGATAGGCGGCAGGGACGAACTGCGCAGGCGCTATCAGGAGGCTCCTGAAAAGCTCCAAGTGGAAGCTGTGCAAGGGGAAGTTCAGCCCGGCTATCACCGAATCCAAGTGGACCACCACATAGCCGGCCAAATGGCGCATGGGGTTGCGCAGGCGCCGATCAACGTAGATCCTTGGGGGATAAAACCATTGGCCGATCAGACGCTTATCAGCATTCGTCAAGCGTTGGTTCTGACGCCGGACGCACGAGAAGCTAAGGCTGTAACGGGGAGGCCGGGGCGGCATTCCCCGCTCATAATACTCTAAGTCATCACCAGAGGAGCAACCATCGTCGAAACGGGTTTCAGAAGACATGACAACGAACGGTACCTTGGAAGTTCGAGGTTCAACACGGCTTGTAGGAAATCTAGAGAGAGGAAGCAATTGTGCAGCGTAAGGAGAAGTGTGAATGAATCACATGGTTTCTGGGTACTTATAGGCAGCACCGTGGAATCGCGCCAACCGAAGTGGGACACGTGGCACCTAGATACCGGTACCTACCACGGTATTAAAGGTGCCTCGATTTCATCACCTCATAATCACGGCAAGGAAACCCGGATCGATGCCACGAACGTCCCGCCAGGGGGGTTTACCAGCTCCAAGGGATCTAGAGACGCCCAGAGACCGCGACCATCGGCCGTGCCTAATGTCGGCAGCTAATGGGAGACGTACGCATCAATGGGCCACAGAAACATTTAGACCAGACGAACGTCCCCCTATGAAGCTTGCGTTTACGCATATGACAGACGAATGTCTCTATCAAGTGCTGGTTCTGGGAAGTGCGTTCGTATCTCCATACTTGAGAGATTTACTACTGACCAAGGAGGCAACCACCGACAAACGTCGTCTTACGACGTTAAAATTGACTATAGACAGCGGTTGGTGATATGCTCGCACTTGTAAGATGGACGTCGCTGTCAGAATATTGTTGCCGGATGGCAAGCAGGAATCGGCGTCGAGCGTCGCCACCCGGCGACAAACTCTCGTGATACGTCCGCGCAGTCGAGTACGTACGGGGGATGGCAAGGGGGCGCCCGTTGCCCTAAACAAAAATGGGGGACAGATATGAACGTCCCCGCGGACTTTAACTTTACCTCAAAAGTACAGCGAGGCACCGAAGGAGATTCCACACAACTGACGATAAAGGAAATAAAATGATGAAGTAAAAAATCACGAACGTAGAGACAATTATGGGCAAAAAGTGTGTATATTCTTAAGCTCTAACGGCTGGGCATTACAAGTTCAAAACAAGGAAATTACAAGTGTATTATACGAGGAAAGGGGACCCCGGCCGGCTGCCTCCCTGGTTCAGCTCTTCCTCTTCGACTTCAGGCTCGGGGGTCGGCGGTTCCGGGATCTCTCCCCTGGCCTTGGCCTCTTCCCTGCACCGGTCCCTCCCTAGCTTCCCCAAAGCCTGGATCAGCAGGTCGTCGTCGGTATTTGCGGCCAAATCAAAATCAGCCCCCTGCAGCTTGGCGAATATGGGGAGAGTGGCCTTAACTCCCTCATTATATCCGGCGGCAAAGGTGTTGTCGCCGACCTCGTAAAGGAACTTGTGAGACAGAGGAGAGCTCTCGAGGATCCGGACGCCGCAGGCCAGGCGCTGTCGGGGCGGTATCTTCACCAGAGCCGCAGAAAACACGTCGCCGAAGGCCCCGGCGCAGTAGTCTCTGGCAGAGTCCATGAACTCCCCAGTGTTCTTGTAGCCGGAGGTGTCAACCAGCCAATCCGGATTGGCGTCCTTCTCAACAGGGAGCACCGGGACAAGTTTGAAGCCAGCTCCCTCAAGGCCGGCAAGCTGGCTGCGGGATTCAGCCCGCAGAGCTGCGAGCTCCTTCTCCTTGGCCGTGGCCTCTGCCTCGGCACGACGGGCGGCTTCCCGGGCTTGGGACAAAGCGGCATCGGCTTTTACCTTGGCCTCTTTCAGACCAGCCTCCCTAGCGGCCTCAGCCTGCAGCACCAGAAGTCCAGACTGAACAAAGAAGGGAGTCAAAACACATAATCAAAGAATGAACAGAGAATGGGAGATGTACCCAGATCTAGTATAGAGGAAATACCTGAAGAGCAGCTGCCAGAGCAGCGCTGGTCGCCTCAGAAGACGAACGGGGGGGCAGCTCGAGACCGGCTTTGAGGGCTATCTCCCTCCAAAGCTCCTCCGCCGGGCGGCTCAGGGGCAGGGAGCCGGCGTCTTCAAGCAGAGGGCCAGTGGAGGCTGCCCCACGGCCCCTCTTTTGTTTTTTCTCTGGGGCCTTCTCTATCCCCTTCTGAGAAGCCGCCTTCGTGGAGACGACCGGCGGTGGAAGGGCAGCCTCGAGAGCGGGGCCCCCGGACCCTTGGGCCAGCATGGTGGCAATCAAGTGCTGCTCACCCTCAACCGTTCGCCGGGCAGCATCGGAAGCCGAAGAGTTGGAGTCTGAGGCAGGGGCATTCTTGGCTTTGGCCAACGCGGCCTTAGCAGCAGCCGCCTTGGCCTTCCTGGTCTTCAAGCATTCAGCATGATTCATCTGGGCTTCGTCTGGTGGAGAACCTGCATGAAACAATTAAGGGTTAAAAGACGAGCGGAGAATGTGACAAGACACTCACCTCGAAGGACAGGACCACCCGATGCCCCGAGACGAGCGTCGAAGGGTGGAAAAAGTCCAGGGACACAGGCGGTACCTATGCCTGCCCCGGAGAGTGCCTCGAAGGTCAGGTAGCCGGCAATAGGGCAGATGCCGCCCTGCAACAACTTCTCCACGTCCCCGCTCAGGTCGTCGGTCAGCTCCGGTGACTCAATCTTGGGGGGATAGCCGTTCCACCGAACCGGGAGAGGAGGGCCGTCGTATCGAAGGAAGAAGAAGCGATTCTTCCAATCGTGGATAGACGAAGGATAGCTCATGAACAGCCTCCTTCCTGGACGTGCGGCCACGCTCAGGTAACCGTCGGAGTTCTGGGGAGTACTGCGATAGAAGTAGTGGAACAGGTCCAAAGTAGCAGTGGCTCCCGCAAGTTTACAGTGCACCAGGAAGGCTGATATGAACCTATAAGAATTTGGCATGAATTGCGCCGGGGCCACCTGGAAGCAGTGGAAGAACTCCACATAGAATGAATGGAGTGGAAACCGCAGCCCGGCTTCAACGGAGTCCAAATGGAGCATAATCATCCCCAGACGTCTCCTCATCACATGCTCAGCGCCTCTCACGCTCCAGACGAACGGCGGGGGGAAGAAAGTGCGGATTTTGTTGAGAGCCACACGGGAGAGGACTTGATCATGGTCGAGGGCGCTCCTGATCGGACAGATGTGGCGCTCCATGTCCATAGGGATGCCCAGATCATGCACCTCCATGTCAGAGCCGGATTCGGCCTCTTCCCCAGAATCATAGTCAGCAGGGCGCTCATTCAGGGGAACTGCATCAATAATATCTACTGCCCCGTCAACATTCCCATCCCCGGCGTTGCTCCCGCTACCTTGGGAAGCGTCATCGAGCTCACCATCGGCCCGGATGGTCCCCACAGTCGTGGCCGAACCAGAAGTCCCGGAAACACTGGCCTTCCCAGAGGAGCGCGCACCGGAGTCGGAAGAGGATCCTGAAGAGGAACCCGACGAACCGGAATCAGAACTTGACGAGATCTCCATCGAGGTCATTTTGGCGAGAAATCAAGACAGATAAAAGAAGCAGAGGAGGAAAATTACCTTATAAGGAGATTAGCCGAACTCGGAAGCGGGGGAAAGAACTCGAGGAGCAGCGGAGATTCTAGAGCAAGGGAGCAGAAATTGGGAACCCTAATCCAGAGGGAAAACCCGGCATTTATAGGAGAAGCACCGATGGGGGAACCAACGAGGGGTTGACACGTAGCAAGGAGCGTATTCCGGCTCACGCGCTGTGCGTGGGGTGGAAGCGTAATGATGACATTTCCTCGGAAAATGCACCGTCGCAAAAAGCAGCCGTCACCTCGGTTCCTGAGACATCGACAGCTGTTAAACACCATGACCACGAGCGTACGCCTTCACCGGATGCAACAAACACAAGTATCAGGACACGAGCGTCTTTCCTCGAGGGACATCATACTTCCTTATGTCCCGTGCATGCTCAGAACATCAGAAGTGGGGGACTTGTGTTGGGTTAATGGCCCAAATTGAGGTTCGGCCCATTTACCCTTACTTCCGGACGTACGTCCAGATGCACCACTGGGCTAGCCAGGCAAGCCCATGTTCCTCCAGGAGGGATGAACGTCTGCAGCTAGGGTTTAGGCTCAACAGCCCATCTCGACGAACGTCTATGCAGAAACAAGGAGCAGGACCACGGGCCACCTGAATGGCGACGAACGTCGTCATAGCAAGCCCGTAGCCATCGGAGGCAGTCCAGTCCGCATGGCGAGAATCCACAAGGACCAGGGGACGAACGGCCAATACCCCCTGGGGGCCACCTGAAGCGATCCAGCTCGCTCTCTGGGAGGGCGAACGTCCCCACTAATCAGGCGGGTAACCTAGATTCTGGTGGGAAGCGCATTTAATGCTGAAGATTTGGTGGTTGAGACACCAACGAACCACAGGCTTCCACGCCAGTATAGCCACCTGCCCATTGGTGGGTATAAATAGAAGCATTTAATTCATTGTAAAGAGTTGGTAACTTTCTATTCTTAGCACTCTAGCTATAGCCTTCTTACTCGCAGCCCTTCTACTGCCTTGTAAGACGATCGGCCGATGAGCCTTAGTGAAAAGTATTGTATTAGGGAGTTATTAAGAGATAATAATACCTAATCACTTACTTACTACTTGGTTGTTTCTTGATTCATCTCATTTGTTAGTTGGACTAGTTACTCACACATACTCCACTCGAAATCCTTGGGCTTACATGTTGGACCTGAGGGTTGAAGGAATAAACCTCAACAGTCGGCATGTACTAAGACGGGCCAAAAAACGGGGAGAGAGCGGGCTTTGGGATCTAGACCCGCCAGAGCTCCTGAGGAGTCACATGTTTTAATGTGGCTATTTTTAAACCTATTTCATGTTCCCTTTTGTTTCAACTCCCTCCGTTTCACTAATATTATCTGATACCAAATTTAGTAAAATTTGTTTGATTCTAAATGATTCTTATTTTATTGCTACTTTATCAATTCAATATCGACAACATAAACATACTTTTACTGGTATGTGTGTCATTCCCTCCTGTATTATTGTTATTGTGACAAATGTAGTAATTTTTATTTTTTCTAATTTTATTTTTTTATTAATTTTATTAAATATTTATTTTAGTCCAAAAAGCTACAGTTGTATTTTTTCAAACACACATAATTAATCTTACCAAGAAATTTAAAACAATGTAGTCGATTTCTAAAGGCTTTTACTTGTAATTAGGTAATTGAATGAATATGTTGCCGTGGATACCGAACGTTACTTTCATCACCAACCAAAGGTTCAACATTCCACCATCATCGTTTGTCTTGTCTTCATCGATGAAGCTGAAGAAATTTCATTTTCAACTTACATGTGCTACCAATTCTGGATCCGCAATCCCGGAACTGCTGCAATTATAAAACGGCGTCGGTAGTTTATCTCTGCTCTCTAGATTTGTTAATTTGTCGCGATGAAGCGTCCAATTTCGGGGGATAAAATTAACGAAGTAGACAATACAATCGAAAGCGGCGAGGATCTGAAACAGACGAAGAAGACCAAAATCGACGGCGGCGGGGTGTCGGAGGAGGCGCAAGATGTGATGATGGACGAGAACTTGTTGTATGAGGTGCTGAACCGCGCCGACGCACGGACGTTGGCGACGGCGGCGTGCGTTAGTAAGCTGTGGAATCGGGCGGCGCAGGACGAGCGGATCTGGGAGCTGATGTGCATCAAGGACGGATCTCACAGCCAGCAGCAACAGCAGAAGCTCCGGGCGGTGGTTGTCCCTCTCGGCGGCTTTCGGCGGCTCTACTCGCTCCACCTCGGGCCGCTCGTCAACCTGTCATCAACTCCTTTAACTTCTTCGACCTCCACCTGGCCCTGCCTACGCGTGCCGCCGCATCCGGTTCCGGCGAAATCTGCCCCCAAGGGAAGGCGATTAGGTAAGGATGAAATGAATCTATCGCTCTCTCTCCTCTCCATCCGGTACTTCGCGAACATGAAATAGTTTTTTCCTGTAATCTATCATCTCATTATACACACCGCACGATTTGGATTGCTTGGTAATGTAAGAACTCAATGTGACTCTATGACCATTCGATTTACTCCGTACTTCCATCTAAAAATAGTAGTGGAATCAAAAGGATATTGTGCATTTGTGCTTTGTATATACTCTCTATCTCTCTAAAATAGAACTATACCTGTATTTTTTGGACTGGATTTTATAGTCTGATTTTATCTAATTTAATTTATCTAGGTCAAATCTAGTATGTTAAGTCTGGTCCATTTTACTTTGATCTAGAATTGAAATTTTACTGAAATCTAAGATTGAAATAAGTGTAACTAAAATCATCACTGATGTCACATTTGGTTACCCACTTACCCTATATTTGACTTATCATTTTATTAGTCAACACTTTTACCAAAACAAGTACCCGTGGTTTGTATTTCATGCAATATATTGTCTAACAATTAAAATAAGTAATTTGGATTTAGATTGAGGGGAGAAGGACAAAAAATGACATTATGATTTTTAGTAAATCTTGGAATTCAGAAACGTCCGTTGAGATTGTTGAAGATAACAATTTAACCATATTTTCATACACTTGTTCTTTCTTTTTTTAATACACTTTAAAAACAAATTTTCCCCAAGACAAACATTCAACAAATTTAATCGTTTGAGACAGAAATGAAATAATTCAAGTAGATTATGATGATTTAATCAATTTTAGTGTTAGCAAAAACGAGTTCTTAATTATCAATCACTTTTACAACCCATTTGGTTACTTTATTTTTGACATATCACGCTTAATTATCAACCAATTTTTTTAGTAAACGTGTAACTTTTTACTATACTTTTGAACATAATTTGATAATTATAATCAAAATAAATAAGATTAAAGTTATTATTTTAATTACTTTTGTAGTTGAACTGAACAAGATTTTTCTAATTTGTTAATTCAGCTGCTTCAGTCACAAATATTCTTCTTTCGCTGACATATTTTTCTCCATTAAGTCAATTCATCCAATATCAATGTTTTGCAAATTTCAAATGGACTTTTATTAATTATTATTTTATTATTGTTATTATTATCTTCACTACCACCACCCTGCCATGGCCACCGGATGTTAAGAGTTACATAGCCCTGTGGAGGCTGAAGAAGTAATCCAAATAATTAAGTAACTCTGTTATTAAGAGCCACAAACGCCACATTCAGTTATGTAAGGTTGTTTTCTTTAGAACTGTTTTCACTTCCAGATCAAATCAGACCAGACTAGACTTTCATAGTTATAAAATACACAGAGACAAGACATTTATCAAACCAGACCAGTTCAGACCAGACCGGACTAACAAATTTCAGTCCACAAAAAAACATCTTATCTATAACTCTAACTTTAATTGAAGGGTTTTACGTACTAATCCATGTTGATAAATTCAGTCCCAATTAAGGATCTAGTAAAACATGATAAAATTCATATAATCAAACAAGAGTGGTCTTCTTGTCAGGCGGGCCTGACGGGATGCTCCGTCCGGACGAGCCCGTTTGGGCACCTACCCGGTGGAGTTTTTTGATGAATTTTTTTGAGCATGTTCCTCATCAAGTCTAGTTTATCCATACCAAATTTCAGCTCAAAATTCAATCGGGAAGGCATTCAAAGTATTTTTTGAAGTTGACTGCGTCAAAATATACATATAAAACTGCAGTCAACTTCAAAAAATGATTTGAATGTCTTCCCGATCGAATTTTGAGCTGAAATTTGGTATGGACAAACTAGACTTGATAATGAACATACTCAATAAAATTCATCAAAAAATTCCACCTGGAAGGTGCCCAAACGGGCTCGGCCGGACAGAGCATCCCGTCAGGCCGGCCTGACATGAAGATTTGTCATCAAACAATAAGAACACTAACCGGTTGAGGAGAAACCAAACGTTGATGGCGAAGATGATGATGCCATGATGTCTTTAGATTCTGTAAGGATACAAAATCTGATTTCTGATGGATTGAACGGTTCTCCCTTGGGTCTCTTATTATAGGTGTTGTTGAGACCCTTAGGAATGAACATGTTCGTTCGTTTATTGTCATAAGAATTGAATGGCGGACGCCTTTTATATTTTGTATCAAAGAGAAACTCATTTGGTCCCTTATGTATTATTTAATGTTAAAATATACTCATCATATGTTAACTATACATAAACACAGAGACCAAATCTGTCATACAACAAACTTTATGGTAAGACAAAAATGTCACCAATATATATTACTCCCTCCGTCCCATTTATATTGTCCCGTTTTATCTTTTTGGGAAGTTCCACTTAAATTGTCTCATACCATATTTGGCAAAGTTTGTGTGGCTCTAAATCATTCTTACTTTATTCTTACTTTATCAACTAATATCAACCACACAAACTCACTTTTCTTAATAACCGTATCACCCTCTTTCAGGACAATATAAATGGGACGGAGGTCGTAAATTATAGAAAAAATGACCGGAATAATACTCACACGACACTTAAAGACATTAATGTGGCTGTTCGTTCTTTTGGACAAAAGTAACACCATACTTGAAGTAAAGAGACTAATTTGTCCTTTTATAAAAATGAATTTACTTGGGTTTTATTGCCACCTGCTTCCCAATTCAACGCAACGACCCAACCCTCTTCATCTTTCTCTCCCAGGCTACAGCGGAAACTAGACGGAAATCACCATCACCGAAGTAAAGCAGCGGCTACACTACTCCATACTCTAATACACCAGACGCCCCGCAATGCTTCTTCTACTTCGATATGTTGCAAGGATCCATGTCTCTTTGCTTGCTGCTGCGCGCTCTTCTTGATCGCCATAGCCGAATCTAGATCTAGATCTAAATCGCTTCTTCTTCTTCTTCTAATGATTCTTCTCCTTTATTTTG